ACACTTCTTGCCTTGGGGTTCTTGAATGCAGAAAGCATGTTCAATTCAAACCCTTGAAGAAAACATCAGAGACAAATGCTGGAAGAATGTATTTGTTGGCTTTTTGTCAGTGTATAGATAGGTAAAAAACAACTGGTTAATTAATAGATCTTTGAATGGCATTTTCATATGAACTCTTCTTTATCATTAGAAAGGGGATTAAATAACCACCCCCCCTGCTGAATCTAGGATTGTGAAATCTTATTCTCATTGATTTCAGTTTCAAAATGCCACTGGCTTTGAGGGAGACCAGATTCCTGTTGAAATCCTAGCCAAGGTTTGCATTTAGTAAATTATGCTTCTCAACTTCATAGTGGGCTAACATAGTACACTCCTGAACTTCAGGGTGTCTGGAATCTAGATCTGAATTTTGTAGCTTGCATCCACCCCAGTCAATAATGTATCTTGGGAGTAATTAACTATCTTGCATATAACTCATGCCACCTTTAGGCATAACAAGGTAATGAAATATAACCAAAATATGCTCAGTAGGCAGTTGTGAGATAACCTGTTCTTAGGCAAATTTTCCTCCTATCTCCCGTAGCCAGGTTTGACTTATCCCTCAAATTATGAGGATTAAGATCCCTTCTTAAACTGTCTCTCTTATTTTTAATTTTTTTTAATTTTTTATATTCAGAGAAATATTTGGCTTCAATGAAACCTCCTGGCAGTGGATTCTATAGGCCAGTGGTTCTCATCCTTTAGTACCTTACAAACCACCACCGATCAACACAGCAAAAGTGAAACTGGAAGTCCCACCATGGCACTTCCGGTTTCGCCACCGTGAGCTGAGTCCCACTTTTTCCTCACAGACCACAGCCCAGATCAAAGCAGCCTGAATGGGACCCTCCTCCTTATCCCCCAGCACACTGACACTGCAGATTGAAAGCCCCGGTGCAGCAGATGTGGTGGGAGGGGCAGCAGCAGGAACTTCCAGCTCGGACAGGCAAAGATGCCTCCAACCCGCTAGGCGGTGGGGCAAAATCAAAATGCAGCACCCATGTACCCCCTGCCCATGTCACAGGACCAGTGATGGGAGCAGCAGTGAGAGCCACCAAACAAGCTGCCACATGAACAGCTCCTGGACTAGTGGCGCACAGTGGTGTGAGCCGCCCCACCCCCTCCCTGGCCAGGGCTGCACTCCAGGCAGTAAGCCCCAGCTGCCAGGCTGTGCTCCATGGGGCAGGTGGAGCCAGGGCTGCACTCCGGGTGGCTAGCCCCAGCCACAGCCCAGAGCACAGCCCTGGCTCCATCCACCCCATGCAATGCAGCCCAGCAGCGGGGGCTTGCCACCTGGAGCACAGCCCTGCCTGGGAAGGGGTGGTGCAGCTCACGCCACTATGCACCGCTGATCCGGGAGCTGCTGATATGATGGCCTGTTTGGCAGCTCTTGCTGCTGCTCCCGCCACCAGTTCAGGAGGGCATGCATTGGGGGCATATGCCCCAGGATCCGTGCGGGGCAGGTAGGGTTGCGGCTGTGCCAGGCAAAAGGCAGAAGGCACCAGGAGTGGAGGCTATGCCATCCTGCTGCTCAGCCAGCCAGTGTGGGACCAGCGTGAGACATAGTCACTGCACTGCTTCTGGACAAGCGGTATGCAGCAGTGGGAGTTGGCCCAGCTTCCCCATGCCTCACGGATGAGCAGTGGCTTCGCCCCCCGCTGGGCAAGTGGCAGCTGGTCACGGTGGGTGGCATGTACCAGCTGAAAACTTGCTGTAGCCCTCCATAGCCCCCACTCCATTGCTTGCCCTGCCCCAATCCTGAGGCACATGCTCCCCCCATGTACCTTGCTGCCGCTTGCCCAGCCGGGGCAAAGCCACTGCTCATCCAGAGGCAGCACAGTGGCTCAGTCTTGTGCTAGCCCCACATCAGCTGGGCGAGCAGCAGCAGGGCATGTGCCACCTGAAAACTCACTACAGCCCCGCCATCACCCACCCTGCCCTGATCTGGAGTCACAACCTCCGCTCCCCCACCCCCGCATGGCCTGCCACCACTTGCCCAGCTGGGGCAAAGCCTCTACTTGTCTGGAGGCAGCACCGGGGTTCAGTCTTGTGCCAGACCCGCACCGGCTGGGCAAGGGGCGGGGGGCACATGCCCCATTTCTAGCAACTTCTGCCTTTTGTCCAGCCAAGCCCTGGCCCTGCCTGCCCTGCACAGATCCTGGGGCACACCCCCGCACTCTATGCCCTCCCAGACCAATGGCAGGAGCAGGGGTGAGAGCTGCCAGACAAGCTGCCATACAAGCAGCTCCCAGACCGGTGGTGTGAGCCTCCCCACCCCCTCCCTGGGCAGCACTTGCCCCAGCTCAGCTCCCGGTCCCAGCCCCAATCCCTCCCTCCCTGTGGGGACATTGATCTGCCCCCCCCCACAACCGTTCTCTCCCCCCTTCACCCACCACAACAGACTTACCAGCTGGAGACAGCTGTGTCCAGTGTTAAGGACTGCTGCTTGTTTAGTCTATGCTCGAATCTCTGACCAGGCGCCGAATCTTTGGATCTGATTCAGCTGAATCAAACTGGGACAGTGATTCGAATCAATGAATCAAATCACTGTCCCTCCAAATTGGCCAAATCCGAATCGAATACTTGCCACTTCACACAGGTCTAATGGGCAAGGAACAGTCTTACTCATGCTGGGAACACCTAAGCAGTCCCTGCTTGAACCGCTGTTGCCTCCACCATGTGCTCTGCCCTTCCTGGCTGTTGCTCTTAAAGCTGCAGCATCAGGGGACTGTTTAGCAGGTCCTGGTATGGGTGTGCTACTGGGGCATCAACTCTGCAAGTGGGAGGAGATTCTTGTGCTTCTAACTTGGCACCTGGGGTGAGTCCCCCTCTCACCCACACCCAGTTATGGTACTGCTTGGAAATCACCTATCATTGAAAAGAACTATGAAGCACCCTCCTGTTAATACATGACCATGCCAACAATTGACTATTTACATCTCTTCTTAACTTGTTATGTCTTAGTGGGCATCTGATTCCTGACAATACTTTACTTCTAACAGCACATTTTTTATTTCATTAGGAAATTCTTGTGAGTACCATGTAAAAGATCTTTGGAAATCTAAATGATATGAAGCCAACTGCTGTTATTTACTTTGTAATAATCAGTGCATTAAAAGAACAGTTCATTCTCCTTCAAATGTCAGGTGTTTTGTGGAAAAGAGCTAAAGAGGCAACTATTAGATTTGAAAGAAATGTCGCCTTTGATTCAGAACAGTTGTTTTTTTTCCCCACTTAACCAGCCACATGATAATTTTGTCTCCTCAGATTTCACACTTTAAACTTTTCCTATTTTGGGCTTGTAGCATCTGGAATATGGAAATCATCATATGCAATGAGACTAAAACAGGAGTGCCCAATCCTCCACCTGTGGGCCAGATTCAGCCCCTGGTGCCTTGTCACCTGGCCTCTGAGGCTCCCCATAGATCTGAGAGGAGCCCTGCAGGCTCTGGCCCTGCTTGCTACAGTGGGAGAGCAGGGCAATATGGGGCTGGATCCAAGCTGGTGGACAGCATGGGGCCCCAGGGCCTGATCCCATCTGGGTGAAGGCAGCATGGAGGTGGAGGTAGTACATTGCCTCAGAGCCCAATCTTGGTATGCAGGGGATGGGTGGAGGCAGTCCAGGGTACTAGGACCCAACCTTGGTGCACAGGGTTTGTGCAGGGCCTAACCCAGCCCATGAACTGGACTAAAAGATCAATGTACTTTTCACATATGGATGAGCAGAGAGCATGTTTGAGGCTGCCCAGCCAGAACGGTAAGGTAGACAAGGTATTATTGGATCAGACCCAGCATACACTTCCCTGTTATAGTTGCTTGTTTGCTGCATGTACCAGCTAATCATAAGCTCCATCCATAACTTTCTCAGGCACCCTTTCTAGTGCAGTAAGTGGGGACTGTGCTGAGGAAGTAGTAAGGAGTCCTGGATAGGATTCTAGTTAAAGAATTTGTTTTACTTTTTTACAAAAAATAATTCAGATACTGAAATAAATTCAGGGTTGGGGGGAAGGGCAGTACACAACTGAAGAATGTTAATCATAATCAGGGATCTGGGTTTTCCATTTTCATGGAAAAATGGAAAAAAAACATGGATTTTCCCTTTTTAACAAAGAAAACCATGGATTTTTCATTTTAACAGAGAAACATGCAGATTTTCTACTTTTGCAAAGAATTCTCTGCAGGCTGGCAGAGTTACGCCTGCAAGGAGTTGCGGGGAGTGGGAGAAGGGTGGTCAGGCAGGGGGTGCCATGTGCATGTGTGCACTCACACATGCACATGGGCACCAGGCACCCTGGAGAACAGCTGTGACAGGTAAGCCTGGCAGGGAAGGAGGGAGGATTGAGGCCCACATAGCATAGGTAGAGGGAGAAAAAATAATTTGGGGGGGTGTGCTCAGCCAGAATGGTCCCACTTGCTGGGTGGTGGAGGTCCCAGAAGGAGGGTAGCAAGGCAGGGAGCCCAAGTCCGCATTGGGCAGCCTGCCCTTGTCCCTGCCTCATGCACAGATCTGGGGGGCATGTGTCCCCCCTGCCCTCCCCAGGAGTGCGTTCAGCAGTGGGAAGCCACTTCCTCTCCCCCTCCCTGCCCCCGCCACCACCTGGATGAGCTGCCTGTGGCTCTGTCCTGATCCCTGCCTGGGTCCTGCGATGTGCATTCTAGCCCCAGATCCCAATCCACACACATCGCCTGGGCTGGGCAGCAGCCCCATCCCCAGGCCCACCCCAACTCCCTCCCTCCCTATGGAGCATAGGCGGCAGAAGGCCAGGGCTAAGGTGGTTCATCCCCCCCAAATGTGGGGCAGCAGGTAGAGCCGCAAGGCAGCCTGGCCATGACCTCTGGGTAGCTGCAGCAGGGGTGGGGAGGGGCACGCACGCAGTCAGGATTGCAGCCCAGTGTGTGGATCACTGGCTGCTCAGCACAGCAGGCAAATATTATCAGTCTATTCTGTTAGGGAGAAGGGGTGTGTAGGGGGGCAGATTGAGGACCCCATGGTAAGGGAGGGAGCAGGGCACAGGTGGGGCAGGGGCTGGGGTGACTGGGGCCATGGCTAGGCTGGGTGGTGGGACAATTGGTGCCCAGGTGCCTCATCCAGGGGTGCAGGGGGCCTCCTGCCACTTCATGCACCCTGGGGAAGGCCCAGGGGGCACATGCAACCTGATCTGTGCACAGGGCAGAGGTGGAGGCTGCTGCATGCTGCACTTATCTGCTGGGCAGGGGGAGGGGCCAGGTGGGGAAGCTCCTTGCTGCTGCAAGCCCCACGCTGCCCTAAGTGCCTGTGCCCACCTGGCAGCAGCAGGGGTGGTGGTGTGGGGTTGTGCCCCTTACTGCTGCCAGGCAGGAAGGGGCCACCTCACCATGGCAGTGTGGCACTCCCAGTGTTGGAAGTGAGCTTCTCTGCCCAGTGCCACTGTGCCCTGCCATGGCAGGGTCTACCTGCTGGCCTACAGAGGCCCCAGGGGGAAGGCAGCAGGCTAGGGAGCCCAAGCCCACAGCAGGTAGCCTGCAGCTACACCCCCCTGACACTCTGCACCCTGGTCATGCCTTCTGCAGGGGAGCGGGATCTGGGCTCCACACTCTGCTCTGTGACAGAAGCTGCTTCCTGTGGGTGGCAGCCAGGGCCTGGGTGCTGCTGGGGGTGGGGGGGGAGCAGGGGGCTCCAGATCCCTGGCTCTACAGCCCTGGAAGTTCAGGGCTTCCTTTGGCAGTGCTGGAGGGTAGTGGACTGTAGTTGGGGAGCGATGGGCACTAGCAGGGGTGGGAGGGCTGTGGGTAGGGAGTGAGGGGCACCAGCAGGGCTGGGGGGCTGCAGCTTGGGAGTAAGGGGCCTGGACCTGCGTTCTGGTGAGCAAAGGGGGCAAGGGGAGCTCTGATTTTTTCCATGATAAAAAGCCCAAAATCCAAGTACCAAAATCAAAGCACCAAAGTTTATGGGTACTTAGAATTTATTTTATAGTAACTGAGGCACTGGCAGGCTTCCCATTGCTTTGAAATGGTAAATATATCAATGAAAAATTGTGTTAATTTAATATCTGTATATATAGTGGCATTTCATTTTAATCACAGATGTTGGGTTTTTTAATCCGAGAATTTGCATTTTTTTTTTATTAGAGAAAAACCAGGATCCCTGGTCATAATACAGCTTTGAGACATTTGCATTAGACTGTAGTGTCTAAATGCCTCTTTTCCCTCTTACATTCTGAACAATCTGATTTGGACAAACTTCAGAAACTCCATCCTTGTGGGCCAGCGTTTTGAACAGAATGTTACAGGGGTTGGCAAGTAGAGATTCATCCCTGGGTGTTGTTTTAGGGTGGAAGCACACAAATGACAAGTGCCACTGCTGCTGACCTGGCCACGGACCCAGGTGCTTCTACCTCCTAATAACTCCTCTGGTTTTGAAATGTAATTGAATGGCACCTTCTTGGGAGGTTAGAAGCATTCGGCTAATGTGAAGGTAGTCCCATTTCTACAAGCCCTGCAAATGAGGAAATGTTGGAGTATAGGGCACAGCAAGACAGGCCCCACAGATAAGGGTTAGATAGTTCTGATGGTTTTGATAGATATTTGTGTTTTTTTGGATGTGCACTGGAGCTGTCAAAGATTTTTCCACTTGCAGAAGTAGCTGTGTTACTACTATACATTAGTATAGACCTTTTGTCTACTCACAGTGGCCTTCCATTGTTTTGATTGTAGTGTAGTATTAAAATTGGTCTTCTGTTTTTTTTATCTATGTGTTCAACAGCCTAATATAATATGTAACCCTGTGCCATTTTCAGGCCATAAGCAAAGCCCCATGCAGGGCTGGCTAGGGGCAGACCCTGGAGGCGGTGTGGGGAGGGCAGTACAGTCACATCCATTCAATTTCTGGTCCACCCAGAGTTTAAAATCAGCTGCTGACTATGGCCAGCAGCATCCAACTGACTCCTTCTATGGGAGGGCAGGTTGGAGAGGCTTGGTGCTGCTGTCATTGCTGGGAGCCCTGCACTGGCTGTGCCATCATGGCAAGGTACCCGTAACCCACCCAGCAGCAAGACTTTGGGATGCTGGTGCCCCTGCTGCTGTCAGGCAGGGGGGGGCACCTCACCTTGGTAGCGCAGCTAGCACAGGGTTCCTGGTGGCAATGACAGCACCAAGCCTCTCTGCCCTGCTCCACCCTCTTACACTGGGTCCCGCTCAGGAGTGTCTCTAGTGGGTTATGGAATAGAGAAAATCCCACACAATTTACTGATTCGTTTTGATGCACTGGCTGGGGGAGTAGTTAGCTGATTGCACGATTTCACAATGATTACACACTTAATTTATACAACACAATTTTATTTTAAAACTCTTTGCTACGTATATAACACTGCTTAGCTTTAAGAAACACCACAAACATTAAAAACACAATAGTTACATATATCAGAAACAATGCTCCGAATGCACTTCCTTCCCAAACAATGCTATAAGAATTAGTGTTACAAAAACAACTACAATTACAACTAAAAGTTAAATTTGAATCAATACTGTTATTTTTCATAATATACTTACAATCCTAGAATTCCG